GACAGATCAATAGCAAACGGCACGAATTGTGAGCGCTGACATTAACTTTTTCTGGTTGATGTAAAGCACGAGAATATTTTTAAAATTATCAAGCTTGCCAGGTGAGTTGGCAGACACAGTATTTTATTATTTTGAGCTCCATCTGCTGTTTCAGTTTCCCTCTTCGCCTCCTACGACACCTAGAGACGATATTATATTAAAATCGTTTAAATTCATTATAGAGACTAATCCCTTCAAAATTTTCTAGCACCCAAAACTCGTACAGTCTGATTGTGATGCCTAATTTACTTAAATTAAATATGCAATTGTTAAGTGTGCTGATATTTGGTGTAATATTTCAAACCCATTATTTGTTTTATAAAATATTGCAGGACGTATTTTTAGAAATAAAATAGCTCCATTTCTAGACTTAAAATAGCTTAAAGGAAATTTGAAAAGGAAATCTCTAACAAGTTAAATGCCATTATACACTTCGCAATCTTTGTACCGCCTGGTTCAGTTTCCATTAAATTCTTTTTACTGAAAGCGTAAATTTACACGGACACGGTCCGTTCCTAATTGTTCATCCGACAAGAAAACCGGGAGCTCTAGGGACAAAACATTTTGTATGAGTTTGTTCACAGTTATCAGACACAATTATTGCGTCGGCGCTGGTATTTAAATGGTGGTATGCTCTACATTTCACTACCGTTTGAGCTTGTACGATACGTTCATACGTGGTAGAGTCATGCTGCAGGTATATTATTTGTAGCACGAATGGGTAGGCTCCACTGGGTCAGAACCACGCTCTCACAGAATACCAGCGTAAAATAGCACCTCAATGCTGCTGTGTTACGTATGGCGAGTGTAGAGAACCGAAGACCTTTTTTACTGGAAACGGGGCATTCCATCTTAGTCCTAAAGGGTGTCAACGCATCTCATTTTGATTCTTTATTGAGAATTTATAGTGTGCACGTTTGTCGCCGTATTCTATTTAGAAAAAAAACTTTTCGACCCGACCGGCAGTTCCTTTCGGTCGTACTTAGTTATCCTATAATCCCGCCGCCTTTCGTTTGTCGCTCCTTCTTACTCCTCACTACAGTAAGTTCTATAAACTTACTGTAGTGTGGATTCTACAGTTAATTTTTGCAACTATTTTAGATTTTTAATAGTACCAACAGAGGTTTCCGGAGTCCCACTAAAAATCAAATCTGACATTCATTAAGTAAAAACGGGCCGTTAATCTTACACCGTTGATTACCGGGACAAAGAACTTTTTTTTAATTTCTAATAAATATTTATAATAAAATTGTTATAGTCCGTTCGCGCTAAGAAAATAGGGAGTCAACAGGGCAACTGCACGGTAAAGGTGAAGCAAAAATTTATAATATAATGTAGTGAAGTAAAAATTCAAACAACTTATATTTTAAAAAATTAAGTGTAACAGATAAAATTGTCAAATTAGTCATTAATAATATATTTTAATCAGTATCACTAGAATCTTCGTTCGTATTTATTACAAAAGAATTTTGTTAATATATTTGATAGCCGAGCTCTTTTTTTCATGGGTGATTTTAATGTGTTATTTTCCTTTTCTTCCCTAATAATTTTATAAACTGTATTTTCGGAAACACCGCATGCACTTGCTGTTTTTACACATTTAAATCACACAATTTAAAGTACTTAAAAACATTGTAAATTATTCCTCTTTCTCCGCTATGAATTATAGATTCTCTTTAATTGTTACGAATAGATGGGGGTATTAATTTTTAAAATTTAAACGGGGGGGGGGCGTGGCTAGGCCGGCGGACAATGATGACTCACTATTTTCTTAACGCGAATGAACTATAGGTATTCATAAAGGTACTAAATATATCTCGTGTCTATGAATTGACATTGTCTATGAACACAAACTAATTTTGACAATTAAGATATCCTTGTAAGATTCAATCAAATTTATTGCAACCAACACACTAAACAAAATTCCGAAATATTTACTAAGCATTTATGATATTAAAGCAAAATATTACCGTTTAAGCATAAAAATACGTATTTATTTTTTTGAAAACCATTGCCATTAGAAAATAAATAAGTTTAATGATAATATAGTTTAAAAGTTTTTAAATATTTGAATGTTTTAAGTTTTTTTTTCTTATAAAAAAAAAGGTGAGTATAGCTTGACCACAAAGGTTGTGCCGCGTCTTGGGTGAGGAAGAAGCCGTCGCCGACTTTAGCAACGGTAATTCGAGTGATTTATTCGAACTGTGTTGGAACTGTGTTCGAACTGGTTTGAAAATGGTATATCTCGGAATGATAAGGTCCATGTGGCCAAATAAATATACCGTTAACTGCAGCATTTCTGGTACTTTTTGATTTTTAATATTCTTATTTTAAAACATTATATAATACAATCGTATCATCTTAGTTAATATATAATAAAAAAAGTTAAACATTAAAATATTTTAAACCAATATTATAAGAATAAGAACTATCTCTCAATTTCGATCTTATGTGGACTCTAATATTGCCATCCGCACTGTCGCACCCAAGTGACGGCACACAACATGGGTTCAAACTAAAGTGATAAAAATGTCTACTTATGCAGCCTTTCAGTAGTCGAAGACTCTATGGTCCTTGTTAAAAATTGGTCAGAATCCCCATTACACGAACGGTCCTTGTGACACGTAAAACTCTAACTTATTCGTTACACAAAATTATTACCAAATCTCTCCTTCACGTAAATCCGAGGAAGACAAGAGGTTATAAAGCTCAGCGACAATCCATTCTTAGCATCGGTCAGATGCACCATTTATTGCTTTTTAAAATCCTCTACATCACTATGCCAATTAACAAAATATTTGTTTTCCTATTCTTTCAAAACTTCCAGTCTATTATTGCATCAATTTTGTCACAAACATAACAAACACCGACAGAGTTTCTTATTACAATTTATATCACATACACTAGAGGTAACGACAGCGAGAGTCAAGTATGACAGGAGGGAAATACTCTTCGCCAAGTATCCCCCTACTAATTGTACCAGTTATGTAATATTCACACGTGAAGCAATGTGTCTCTTCTTGTACTTTATTTTCGTCAGTGAAATCTTCAACATCTACATCTTCAACATTTACTAACAATACACACATGATCTACATACACCACTGACTGACTGACTGACTGACTCATCACGAGATCTCTGAAACTATAAACCCAATTGACTTGAAATTTAGTATAGTTACTCATTTCGCAATGTAGACTCTCACTAAGAAGTAAGAACGGATTTTACGATAGTCCCATCAACAAAAAAAATTAAAAGGTTCCGCAATAAAATATTATCGTGCGCTCGGCGAGGCGAGCGGGTACAAGCTAGTCTTTAATAAATGCAAAACTAGAAAAATTACCTTTTTTGAACCTTACGGACCCTACCTTTTACGGATTTTATCGTTTGTTTCACCTTTTTTTTTCGTATGCTTTGCAGGACCTACAGTCCCCACATGACGTGAGATGAGTGATATGAGAGATGGAAAGTATAGCCAGCTCCCATTTGCCAGAAGTATTTGATACTGATTGCCACACCAGCAAATTAGAACTGCGTTAAGAGTGCAAGACGTCTGGTACAGCCGTGGTGTAGGATCATAGCCATGAGTCATTCATGAGGATCTTAGTTGTTTGGCATCCTAATGTCATGGAAGTCATGGTTAAGCTAAGCTATCTTAACCCAGGATGTCAAACATCTCAGTCCTCTCGTGACCACAGGAGTAACTTGGAACATCGTAAATTTAAAATAAGTTGAAACGATAAAATTCGTAAAAAATATTTTGCAATGCAGTGTTCGCGTACATAACTCCACCTTTAACTCGGGGACATCAAGGACAGGCGGTATGATTAGCATAAAAACAAAATTCAATAAACGTGTTATTATAATTTTTGTTGTTTAAATAAAATTAATAAAAAATGACTTTACCGCTATTTTTCGATATTGTTATGTTATCTTTGTTCATTAGTGTAGTAGACATTGAATAGTAGTTACTAAGTAAAACCCTTTCTAAATAAGTCTCCCTTTTTTTATAAAGACTAATTTTTATGATGAAGCTGAATGACAGAGTGAGAAATTGTTTAATAAGAGAAGAGTGTGGTTTGCAAGATGATGTTGTGACCAGGATTAAGAAAGGAATGCTTCGGTGGTTTGGCCATGTAGAAAGAATGAATGAGGAAAGAGTGACAAAGCAAATTTATGTTGCAGAGGTGAACGGCATAGTCGGTAAGGGTCGCCCTAGGCGAAAGTTTATCGACCAAATTGGCGATATATTAAAAATGGGCCAAATCAAGAGTACCTTTAACCGACGAGCGTGTATGCGTAGGTATATGGATGTGGAGGAAGCGAGAGAGGTGTGTCAGGATCGTGCCAAATGGAAGTCCATAATCTCTGCCTACCCCTCTGGGTGACAGGCGTGAGTGTTTATGTATTTATGTATGTATGTATGTACTAATTTTTAGCTTCCTCAATTTGGGTTCAGTGCCATGAAACAGTTGGAACAACTAATCAACTTTTTGTTAAAATTTATAAGCACTATATAATAATTTACCTAACACTATATCATAATTAAATGATTAACATTTAGCAAATAGCTTCTTTAACTGTAACGAAAATTACAATAGTATTATTTTTTTTAACTGTGCCCAAGACGGGAATCCTCTTCACACCCCCCGTGGCCGTGGCACGTGACCGTGGGTGCCGTAAAATACCCGAAACGTCGGGAATATAAAATAAGTTACTATAAGCGATAAAATCCGTAAATACTAGTTTTATATAAATGTGTAGTGTGTTCGCGTAAACATAAAAAAAATCATTATTCTTAGAAGAATTATTAGAAATCAGTAAGAAATATATTTTTTCGACTGATAAGCATTGTTATATCTGAGAGAGAAAGAAAACCCTTTCTTCCTTATCTTACATTGCTCTAGGTGTGAATATTACGTAACGCAAATAATATATACTAGTTTCGTCACATTTAATTCTATGCATTAATGTCATTTACGAACAACACGTCGCGATTCTTAAGTCCGACCTCATGTAAATTTGATGTACCCCGCGCCACCACGCGTTTGGGGAAATTCGTTGTTATCTCAAATTCTTCGGGCGACTGAGGATGGCTGAACACAAAGTCGTACAAATCCTGAAATAATAAAAATTTCATATTATTATCCTCGTTATTGTATAGCGAACAACAGCCATTTTGGATTAGGAAAAAATATAAATTGTTACCAACATGAGACTGTCACTAAAATGTAGAACATTGCCAATTTAATTAATGGATATCATCACTTTATTTTTAAAAGCTGGTGAAATATAAATAATCGTCGATAAATAAATAGGACGCAGTATTAAATAACTTATTATTGAACACATCCGTAACTATTTACGTTCTTAAACAAAGAGAGAGAAAGAAAGAAAATATTTATTTAGCCACATAAGCACAAAGCCATATTGTACACAATATTTATTAATAAGTATTTAAATAACGTTATTATTGATAACGTATTAGACGTTGCCGAACGTGACGGAAACGGAAAGGAATCGTACTCAGCATTTGGCGTGACGAAGGACAGCCGCTGTTTTTCAGTGTGACCCGTTTCGTATCTTTCGAGGAGTTTCTCGCCGGAAGATCCCAGCGTTGTTGCCGATTCTGTTGCTGATGTGGTACTTCAGGGTATGGAACTTTTTATTCCATCCTCTGTGGTGCCCATCGGAGGCAGATCCCAGCCATGGTTTGGTCGCTCCTGTAAAATAGCATCACGCTATAAGCAGGAGTGCTACCGGGCCTGGGCTGACGCATCAACGTCTCGGGATTTAAACACCAGCGCACTTAAAAAGAAGTATAATTCCGCCTCCAGGTCCTTCAAAAGCGTCATTGCCAAGGCAAGGTCTGAGCACATCGGCAGAATTGGCGAGAAGCTAGTTCGCCTTCCTTCGGGAACCCGTGCATTCTGGTCTCTCGCCAAGGCTGTCCAAGGGAACTTCTGTCAGCCATCCCTCCCATCTCTGCACAGAGAGGACGACTCACTGGCCCATGCCGCAAAAGAGAAAGCCGATCTGTTGTGCTCTCTTTTTGCGTCCAACTCGAGTCTAGATGACGGGGGAAACACACCGCCGACCATCCCGCGATGTGAGTGCTCCATGCCAGATGTGCGATTTACACAGCGCTCGGTTCGCAAAGCACTCTTCTCCCTGGACGTCAGCAAGTCGAGTGGGCCCGATGGAGTCCCTCCCATTGTGCTGAAGACGTGTGCTCCGGAGTTGGCACCGGTTTTAACGCGTCTTTTCCGGTACTCCTACTCCCAAGGCGTAGTCCCGAATTCATGGAAGACAGCTTTGGTCCACCCGATCCCTAAAAAAGGCGACCGCTCAGACCCGTCCAACTACAGGCCTATCGCCATCACCTCCTTGTTCTCCAAAATAATGGAATCCATTATAAACTGCCAGCTCATGAGGTACCTTGAGGATCACCAGCTGATCAGTGACCGTCAGTACGGTTTTCGTCGGGGTCGATCAGCAGGTGATCTTTTAGTTTACTTAACTCATAGATGGGCGGAGGCAGTAGAGTCCAAGGGGGAGGCATTGGCCGTTAGTTTGGACATAGCGAAGGCCTTCGATCGGGTCTGGCACAAGGCGCTTCTTTCGAAGCTTCCTTCCTATGGGCTTCCCGAGAAATTGTGCAAATGGATCACCAGTTTCCTTGCTGATCGGAGCATCAAGGTCGTAGTAGACGGTGCATGCTCTGATTACAAGCCTATCAACGCTGGTGTTCCACAAGGCTGCGTGCTATCACCAACGCTGTTTCTCCTGCATATCAATGATATGTTGCTAACTGGTAGCATTCATTGCTATGCAGACGACAGCACTGGGGATGCCTTATATACCGGCCGTGCCAATATTTCTCGGGAAAACGTCGCCGAGTACCGGGACAAACTTGTGTCTGAAGTCGAGTCTTTGCTTAACAAAGTCTCGGATTGGGGCCGACTAAATCTAGTCCAGTTCAATCCCCAGAAGACACAAGTTTGCGCGTTTACCGCTAAAAAGAACCCCTTTGTCGTATCTCCTCAGTTTCAAGGCACTCCCCTTGCTGCCTCAGCCAGTATCGGAATCCTTGGCGTCGACATATCGAATAGCGTGCAGTTTCGTGGTCACTTGGAAGGGAAGGCCAAATTGGCCTCTAAAAAGCTTGGCGTGCTCAGCAGAGCGAGACAGTATTTCATGCCGGCACATCGCTTGCAACTTTACAAAGCGCAAGTTCGGCCCCACATAGAATACTGTTCTCATCTCTGGGCCGGGGCACCCCAGTACCAGCTCCTTCCACTTGACCGCATCCAGCGCAGAGCGATTCGAATCGTCGACGACCGAGTTCTTTCCGATCGGCTCGATACACTGGCACTGCGTAGAGATGTTGCATCTCTTTGCGTATTTTATCGCATCTATCACGGGGAGTGCTCTGAGGAATTGTTCGGACTAATTCCAGCCGCTCAATTTCACCATCGCACGTCGCGACAAAACTCGCGTTACCATCCATACCATCTGGATGATTGGCGGTCCACCACTGTGCGATTTAGAAGAAGTTTTCTCCCTCGCACAACTTCTTTGTGGAATCAATTACCACCAGCGAATTTTCCGAACCGATACGACTTAGGAACCTTCAAGAAAAGAGCTTACACCTTTCTAAAAGGCCGGCAACGCATCTGCAATTCCCCTGGTGTTGCGGTTGTTCATGGGCGGCGGTAGTCACTTAACATCAGGTGAGCCGCATGCTCGTTTGCCCCCTATTCTATAAAAAAAAAAAAAAAAAAAAAAAAAAAAAGTTCGGGCAGTGGTCTATCATATTACATTTTAAATAAATACTAACAGTATATAATTCTACGTTTTACTAGAAAAGTCCATAAGTACCAAAGAGTATATAATCTTATAAAAGATACTGTGATAAAATTACTAAGTTTTACTTTTTTTTACTTTTACTTTTTACTTTTTCTAAAGTCTAAATCGATTTTGTTTCTGAATCATAATAAAGTCTAGACAATTTCAATTGTATTAACTTATTTTAATTATTCAACTACGAAAAACTTTCATTTTAAAGTGCTACAGATTATTAATATACCACATAACCTCAAAAAACATATTGCATAATTACTAGATTCTCCGTACTTTTAAAAATATACTGAAAGCCGAACTTTGTTATATTTAAATAGACAAATGAGACGACATATTACGCTACATCAAATTACGTTATATTGGATTTTATTAGCTCAAGCATGTTAGGAGAGTGGCCATTATTCTTTCGAGCGTAGCCATTTCCATCGCTCGCTAAGTGACTGAGTTTCCTTATACAGCCAGTAGTATTGAAGAACCACGTGTCGGTTCCTTAAACTTCGCTGACAACACGTTGTTGCTCACTACAGGCCGTGTAGTGTCGTAAAAGGTGACAGAGAGGAACTGAACCAGGAGATAAGCAGCGGCATTTTCCTGACAACAGCTGAATAAAAATTAAAAAAACTGCGGTTAGAAACCCGCTTACCAAGTATGACAACTATGGCATAAAATCCACCCCCACGCCAATTAAAGCACACAAAATATTACTGATCGTACACGAAATCGTTAACCAACCTGTCTTCTCTTAGATTTTATAATTGTGGAACTCAATGGATATGAAACACATAATATTTACTCGTTCAACCATTCTATGGAAAAAAGTTTTCTTATTTTTTAAGTACTAGTAATACAAGCTATTTCCAACAAAAACGCCTCATAAGTACTCGCCTGTGTAGTATTTCTTAGAGAGAAGCGTCGAGTGAGACGTTCCCCGTCGGGCAGGCGAATAAGAAGCGCTACAGTATCGTTGCCTGGTTCCGGCTCGCACGGCAACCGAGCGGCCATCGCTGCCCGCGCTTCAACCAACTGTTCAAATAACGTACGAAATAAATCCTTATTACTACTAGCGTAAGATTGATTATTCTGTGTCAAGCCACAAGACAGACAGACACACAACTCACGCTTTCTTTTTTATATGATAGGATCCAAACGAGCACACAATCCACCTGATTGTGGGTGGTTGCTGTGGCCCATAGACATCTACATTTATCCTCGTTTGCGAATCAAAATGCAGATGCGTTGTCACCCATGAGGACTAAGATGGAATGCCTATTTTCCAGTAAAAAGGGTCTCCGGTTCTCTACACTCACCATACGAAACACAGCAGTGTTAAGCTGCTATTTGACGCTGGTATTCTGTGAGAGCGAGGTCCGACCCATTCTTGCTACAACTATACTACTAATATAGCTGCAGCATGGCTCTACCACGTAAAAAAACGCTTCCAAAAACCGTGCAAATTATAAAAGACCGAATATTCTATAAGTCGACTTATAGTGAGAGCCTTTTGTTACCCTAAGACAGTATGATTTACTATATATATAGCTTCACCACCAATGGGGTTTGTGGTCAAGCACTGACTTATATAAGTGAAAAAAAATGTTTTTTATATTTTATTATTGTTAGTGTTCCGAACTGAAACATGTCTAGCTTTTACGGATTTTATCGCATTTAATTAATTTATTTAAACAGTAACACAAAGCAACTCTTGAAGCAAAGCGTCAAATTGACTCTGAACTCTCTTTGATGTTAGGGATTGGAGGACAAGACCGAGAATGTAGTTGGAGCACTCGAGTCACTTCGCTGCGGCAATCGGCGTTGGATGCAAGCCGACATTTCTTTTCTTCATACAAGTTTGTGCATTACCTTGAGGAGATGGAGGTGTGCTAAGTAAATTTTCGTGTCACTTGGACTTCGTATCAATGTAAATCGACGCTAAAAAGTTGAAATTAACTGATAAGAACGCGGCGCTAGAGGCTAACTCTAGCGCGTCGCCAAAACTTGTGGAATCGTGTTCGTAAAATTATGTAAATATGTATTCAATGGGATAGATGTTCTGAGCAAGCTCCCAAACACTGTGAATGTACTTTTATTGCTTTGGTTCAGTACTGTCGAATATAGGTAGCCAGAAGTCAATGAAAATTAAAGTTTGTATATTCTTGCTTTACATCCCTGACCATAATTATTAACTAAGGTCAACCATCTAGCATTGCGGCTTATGGTTTTTCAAATGAGCACACAGTCCACCTGATGGTAAGTGGTTGCTGTGACCAATAAAAATTAAGTTTACCTCTTGTTTGTGCCTCTCTTCCTCCTGTCGACGTTGTAGATCCTCATACTCCTGCTGTGCTACGGCTTCTCTAGCAGCTGCTCGGCGTCTTTCTTTCTCCTGATCCGCCGCTAATGACTCTGCGTAAGCTTCATCTTGTGCTGCGCGAAGACGTGCCGTCACTTCGCGCTCCACTCTAAATAAATATTAAGTTTTTTTTTATAGGATAGGGTGACAAACGAGCACACAGTCCACCTGACGGTAAGTGGTTACTGTGACCCATAGACATCCAAATCTATCCTCAAGAATCAAAATGCAGATGCGTTGTCACCGGTGAGGATTAAGATGGAATGCCTCTTTTCCAGTAAAAAGGGTCGCCGGTTCTCTACACTCACCTATATGTAACACAGCAGCGTTAAGCTTATATTTTTGAAAATTTGAAAAGAAATTAACAGTCAAAAGCAATTTCAACAACAAAATCAACAACTTAAACAATATCAAACCAACAAAAATCCTAACAATAACAATCTAAATCAAACAATATCACAGAAAACTCTCAGAATTTTAAAAAATCATCTTGCTCACAGATTAATGAAACCAACAAAAATTAATTATCGCAACGCATGAATGGCATTATTTGTGGTTGTTACTAGCAGGTGGGAGTATATGTGAATGAATAGAAATGATGCTACATACTTATAATCCCATTATTTATCTGCGCTGACAGTACATCCTGTCCATCCATCAATTACATCGTAATTTTGCAAACCTTTTTTTATTACAAATGCGTCCATTAAACCATAATTTACAAGCAAACTTAAAAATGTAAATAATCTTTACCTATCAGCACGAGCGGCGGCTAAATGTGGTTCATTGTCACCAACTACCCTACGAAGCCTTTGCAGCAACTGTTGTGGTGAGCATGCACCCTCACTCCTTGCCACCACGGTCATGCGATGCTCCCGCATACACACTACACATAGCAAAGGATAACGTCGCCCTCCCACTGATTGCGCTACCCTCCAACCCTCTGAACTGTCCACAGAGCAGCCCCAAAACAGAGCGTGCGTATTTATATATTGGATCACCTCTGGATCTGCGAGGGTAGTCCTGGAAATTTTGGGATCAGTTATTTTTATAGCTTTATACATTGACAAAAAAGCTTGAAAAAGTAGTTTTTACCTGCAAAAATTTTGTGTTTCACTTGTAGATTCCGAGTGTAAATACACAATAAGGAATCTTAGTTCATTTTTGGCATCATTTAGTGCCTGTGCATATGTGCCCTGATAGAACACTGGGTGTGGATTAAACCTTGATGTATAATTATTTATGAAACCCATAACATCACCCAATGGATCTGTCACAACTGAAAGAATTGTTTACTATTAATCTATACCGAAATAGAAAAAAATTAGTTGATTAAGCCTTTCCAGCAGTCCGCATACATATAAACATCCACTGCTAGACACAAGAATTAGTCTTAGTATCCTGCGACACTACTTTGTTAGAGATTTTTTTTATTATTTTTATATATTAGTTCTCAATCAATGCACTATTATGCTCAAGAGCATTATTTTCACGCCATAGCAGCAGTTTACCCAACATATTTTTTAAATTTTTTTTTTAATTTTTCAGGTAAATGGAAGATTTAAATGAGAAACATATTTATTACATATAAAAAGACAACAGGAAATATGTTAGAAATAATTCAGACAATGGTAACACTGTCTGTTTCTAAGACTGCATTAGGTGACCATATTAAAACATGGAAATTCTGGATATTTTTCCAAAGAAATTCATTCCATTTTCACTTGCAATTTTGGTCTACAATTTTTTTATAAAATTAAGTTACGTACATTAAGTATTTCCACTTATAATAATGTCGAAAACAAATGTAGTATACCTAGAATAGAATAGAATAGAATAGAATGATTTTTATTCAATATGGATTATTACATAATACTTATTGAAAGTCATTATTTTATTTACCACTGGTTCGGAAAATACCTCTGTCCTGGGAAGAACCAGCAAGAAACCCAGCGGGACTTTTTTTTTTAAACATAATTTCACTTAACAATAATTTTGATTATACAATTTTAAATGAATTTTCATAGAACCAGCATGGTGGCGATCACCTTATTCCCAGGGGTTATTTTCACTCATGTATTCCTTGATATTATAATAACCCTTTTTGTACAGTTTTTCTTTAATAAAACTTTTAAACTTGTTTATTGACAAACTTTGAACATGTTCTGGGATTCTGTTGTAAAAGCGTATACATTGCCCCATAAATGAATTACTAATTCTGTGGAGTCTTGTAAGTGGCATTACAAGCTTATGTTTGTTCCTAGTGTTTAAGGTATGAACATCCTTATTCTTATTAAAGCTATTTATGTTTTTATGTACATACATTACATTTTCATAAATATATTGCGATGCCAAAGTTAATATGTTTATTTCTTTAAATTTTTCTCTAAGGGACTCTTTACAATTTAGATTATAAATCGCCCGTACGGCTCTCTTTTGCAAAACAAATATAGCTTCAATATCAGTCGCATTACCCCATAGCAAAATTCCATAAGACATTACGCTATGAAAGTAACTAAAATACACTAACCTAGCTGTCTCAACATCTGTGAGACTTCTAATCTTTCTTACAGCATATGCTGCAGAACTAAGTCTGCTTGCTAATTTAGATATATGGGGGCCCCATTGAAGTTTCGCGTCAATAGTAATACCGAGAAAAACAGTGGTATCCACAAGACTCAACTCCTCCCCATTTAAGAGCACATTGGTTTTCGAATGTTTTACATTAGGTATTGTAAATTTAATACATTTTGTCTTATTGCCGTTTAAGAGCAAATTGTTGGCGTTAAACCAATGTACTAGTTTCGATAGAGCATTATTTACATCGTCATATTTAATTGACTGCCGTTTCAGTTTGAAAATTAAAGAGGTATCGTCAGCAAATAATACTATATCGTGATTGTCCCCTACAAGATAAGGTAAGTCATTAATATAGATTAAGAACAGGAATGGGCCAAGAATCGAGCCCTGAGGAACGCCCATTGATACTACCGATCCGGAGGAACATTTACCATTAATGACGACTTTTTGAGTTCTGTTACTATAACTAGTCCAAATAACAATTAAAACAACAATGAATTCTATTATCTTCGTCAAAAATACGAAAGCACCTATCGATTGAGATGTAGCTGAAGTTGCCCTGCACACTCCTCCCTTTATTGTAAACAAAAATAACATTTTTTCTCAAACCTTAAGCCCTCTCTCAACAACGCTCTCAACCCCCTATCAATACAAATTATTTCGTATCTAATTTCTTTTTTGGGGTAAGTGCTGGAAGTGGCCATTCACTCGTTAAAAGTCCTCCATATGCTGCAGGACACGCTGTTATGAGACACAGTCCCCTTTTAATCTTTAAGTATTATGGAACAATATATAATTTGCCACACAACCCACATGAAGAAACTCGGTCTCTCTTAATTATTTCTTTATTCTCCAATAAATTTATATATACCCACTTTTAGCTTCCTTTAAATTTTGATGCAGATGTTTTATTGTTTTGTTTATTATTAACATTAAAAATGGTGGGAAAACAAAAGAACAACTGATTTTAAAAGCATGGCACGTGACTGAAAATTTCGAATTCCAATTTCATTACCAACTATTAACCTCAAAACCAGCCAGAACAGAATAGAAACCAGCAATTTTTATAACCAGCGACCTTATATTATTTGATGACTGTTTAATAAAAAATGTAGAAAACAAAGTATCAATAAATCTATACTAAACTATGGTAGGTACGTTGAAGGTATGGAGGTAAGGTGGGAGCAATGACTTACGTTAAGCAAAATAAAAATAAAAATAATGTAATAAAATTAACAGTCATTTAAATTTGTAATTCTAAGCTCAATTCCACATTGAGGTGATGGGTATCTTTACACATGATAACCTAAATAATAATAATTATTTATATATTATTACCATGTGAATATGTACATTAATATGTGAAGCTAAAACTTTGAATATATATACCCTTTAAGCATATTGAGAACACAGAAGTGTGTGAGATTTGGCATAGTTAAAGTTTATGGGGAAAGAGTGCATAGCTAAAATTTATATATAATATGTGCTACAAATACATTAAATATAACTTATTTTCAGCCCATAATATATTGGCTGAGTTTCTATACCAATTCATCTTAGATGAGTAGGGTTAATTAATATTTTACATGTAACGTTTTTGTTGCATCTAGTTAATGTTCTGCTATTTATGTACCTGTAAGCAGAATCGCCAGAGGACCTTAAAATCCATATAACTTGTAAATTCTATAAATTAAACTTAAAAATTTTGTACTACCAAATTCAATATAAATATTTAAGAATAACTCAAAAACTATTAGTCAGACCTTATTGAATAAAACTATTTTTACGGATTCTATCGCGTTTAATTAAGTTATTTTATATTCCCGACGTTTCGGTTGCTTTCCAAATTAAAAACCAGCTTACAAATAAAAAAGAATCATTGCAATCGGTTCACCCAGAAAAAAGTTATGAGGTAACACACAATAAAAGAAAACATACATTCAACTTGGGTACCACCTCCTTTCTGAAGTCGGTAGAAAATATAATAAAATATAAATATTGCATTTTTATGGGTTAAGGGTAAAAAGCGAGCATGCAGTCCACCCGATGGTAAGTGGTTGCTGTGGTCCATAAACTCCTCGTTTAATACTATCCTCATTTGCGAATCAAAATACAGATGTGTTGTCACCCTTGAGGACTAAGATGGAACACCTCTTTTCCAGTAAAAAGGGTCCTCGGTTCTCTACACTCACCATACGAAACACAGCAGTTTTTAGCTACTATTTTACGCTGGTATTTTGTGAGAGTGTGGTCCTTCCCCAGTCGTACTACAACTGTACAATTAATATAGCTGTAGCATGGCTCTACCATGTAAGACTGCCAATGTCAAAAACATAATTGTAGCTCGGACAGATTTTGTCATGTTGATGTTCATACTACCAATGTCTATACTATGAGGTGGGATGGAATGGGTTAGTACTAATAGCAGAAATAACTATTACTTACGTCTTCTATCATCATTTCTAATGAAACTTAATAGTAAATTTAAGACTGATGATATTGTACTATAGCACATTGATACAACTAAGTTTACAACATAACGGAAAAGCCCCCGGATACCACCAGGGCCTTCTGGTTGTTCGTCTGTGAACACTTGTTGTGATATATGATCATGGACAACTGGAGGTGCCCTTGCTTCTGTAGCAAATACAGATGGTCGTCCTTCCCTTATATTTAATTGCTCTTGAATGGCTACCTAAAATAAACCATTAAAGTTAAAATTATTCTAATTAATTTTAATAATGTTATAGTAACGTGCTACCCAGATGCAATCACTGTCAGCACAGTACAGTGAAGTAAAGCATTGTGAATAAACCTGCATGTCTGACAACAGCCCACTGTCTAAGAGCCAATGAAGCAACACAGCGGACACTCCCCTGCCCTAAATCTCTGTCTGACTTGATGATTGAAAATCAGCCAAATAATTACAAATAATTTCAATGTAAAAACTAAAAATACTTTTGTTTCATTTGCTTCAGTTCAACACGTCTTTCTTTAACAAAAATACAATTAATGTAAAGTACATTTAAAAGCCGTTAATATTATCTTTGTGTAACTAGGACATTTCTTTGGTAAAACATGATCTAAAAGTGAATGACCTTATTTTTTTTTCTTTTGTATTTTTAACATGATATTACCTCTAAATCCCATTGGTGCCTTTGTAAAACATCTCGGCATATCGACATATCTTCTATTCCAGTTAAATCTTGAAATTGTAATATTTTATCAGTTTGTTCGGATGTCAAACCTAAAGCATTGTCTTCGAGATCCATTGCGTCTATATAGAATTAGTTTTTATTTTAAACAATTATATTATGTAGATTTACATATATACAGTTAGCAAACAAAAAGCACTTTAGATATTTTATATTATGCAGGATGACATTAATAAATCGCCTCTCATATTTGCCTACGAAGACCAACGAAGACAACAATTAGGGATGCAACGATACGAGTAAATACAAGTACTTACTCAATACATTCCTTCCGATACCAAGTACTTTTTGTATCGATACTTTATAACTGAGTATCGAGTAGGTATCGGTCCAAAGTATTTGCATCGGTATTAGACGTGGGCGTTATTTCACGTCACTAGTTACAATAACTGGCTACGCGGCATGTAATCGAATCACTAGTTTCGAGTCATATTACAAGTAGTGATTTTTGTAAATGCGTTATTACTGTTAACTGTGATTGTTGCGAGAGTCGACTGTCGGTCGGTCAAGCACAAAGCGCACATGTGGCATACAACAATAAACAAAACAGCGTATGTAACAGTATTATTGTACGTTTAATTTTCATACGTAAGACTATAGATATAGACAATATAAATAGAGTGATCATTGTTTGTAAATAATTTCAACGGTTTGCAATTTCGGGAATCGAAGTATTAAGTACAATAATTTAGTTTGTTTTTAATTCATCGTTGTACTTGTTTATAATTTTGAATACTATCTTGTAAAAATTTACATTTATATGTTATTTTGGTGTTTTATGTACATTTAATGTAACGTTTCTTTGTTATTATATTATATAAATATAATTAGTGTGGATTGTACAAGTTTAAATAAACTGTGAATATCAATAATCATTGTACATACAATCAAATTAACTTGTAAATATCTATGCATTAATAATTTTATGAAAATCTTAGTTTCATAGTAAATACAAAACAATCACAAATACATTTAATGCAGTCAGTTCTAAGCCTGAATAAAGTATGAAGGGAAGTTAATTTATTGATTTAACTGTATAGCTAGAAACACTTAGATAGTGATTAAATTTATTTACGTTTCGTGTGTAACTGTATAGTTCTTGGTGGTATTTATGCAAACAATCACAGTAGCCAAATAAAAATAGCCAGTTACAAAAATCACTAGTTTTGAAACAGGTGACGCCACCCAACTCACTGGTTTCGTTACGTTTCTTGAAAATGACGTAACGACCCACGTCTAATCGGTATGTCAATGTCACGCTTTTATTTTAACACATTGATGAATAGATAATACACTCATCTTCTTGAAAATTTTGAACGCACTCTAGTTTTGTGTACATGCATATTGGTTGTGACATTCTAATCTCCGACTGTCGTCATTATTTGTTTTGCGTTTAAAGCAATTTAATTTTTTAACTGATTGAAAATGTGACCCCCAAAGTCTAGTATTTGCCAATATTTCACAAAAAATGATGAGAAAAAAACGCAAGCTACAAAATATACTTTAAAATCGTGAGATTTTGTGGCAATACGTCTAATTTGCAAAAGCATTTAAAAAACCACTCAGATTATAATGCATCTGACAACGTATCAATAAAGAATATCATTTACTCTTGAATGTATTTACTGTTTTAATTTAGTTTATTCCAAATTTTACAAATAAAAATCGATCGATTTATGTAAGTATCGATACTTTTCAAAAGATACTGAGTAACTATCGATACTCTACGACCGATACTGTATCGAGTAAACCTGTCGATACCCCAATCCACAGACACTGAGTAACGCGTCAGCGTGAGTAGAGAGTTAGAGAGTAATACACAAACGCAACGTAGATAGTAATGTACTCTGTGGTAGATAGAGGATTGACTAGATAAAGCATTCGCGTATGCTTTTGAGATAGAAATAGGCGGGAGGTACTTTCACTGGGTTACCAGATATTGTTCCATTTCCCCCGTTATGGGTTTATTTATATTCACAGCACTTACATTCATACAAAAAACTTAATTGTTACCATAAAAAAATGTTCTTTTATAATTCAGATGATTAATTCATTTCTCTTGAAAATACATTCTGTGACTAAAAACTACGGGCGGAAACGGCGTAAAAACAAAATCATCATTCTGTATTCAACGGCGCATCGACGATTTTACTGGACATTCAATAAACTCTGGATTTCGACGGCACTAAGTGAATACGCTACTAGCACAAAGTGTGATATTGCTAATAAATAACAATATGTTATGTATGTATTTAAATATTAATTAAGAATAAAAATATTAAATAATAAACAAAAATTTCCTCGTGTCGAGTTTTGTTTTTACAAAAAAAAACCAATAATGTTTTAACATACCATTCCATCAGAAGTTCAGTGCTGAACACAGACCTCCGAAAGGAAAGGCTTTCCACTTAGGTTTTGTAGTACAAAACACGGTTGAGGCTACTCTCCAGATTTCCTGCATGTTTTGCTAGTTAGTGTCTTGTGTGCAGCAAGTTGTGGCGTACAAGAGAATTTGTACGCCACAACTAACCGCACACAAGAAATGATATTACTCCGCGTCGTAAGCAATAAACAATAATACAAGATAAGGATGGGGCAGTAGCACTTTCCCGATGAAAACTTAAAATAATAAATAACTGCGGTGGCCAACCAGCATAACGCATATTTTCACGCAGGCGTGGCAACTATAGTAAAAGTCATCCTATGAGGATATCTAGGGAAGGCCTTTTTTAGGTGGGTGGGTAGGTACTTACTTATGGTTAGGTGGCTTAATCATGTTACCTAATGGTTAAGGTGGTAAAATGTTTTAGTTAATATACGTTGTAAAGCATCAACAAGGGTTTGTTTTTGTAATATGTTGGTATATAAAATAAAAATGAATGTTTTATAATATTCTATTTTAATTTACCATGCAGTGTAAGATTATCTGCTACCTCATATCATTCCATGGGTGGTGTATGAGGCGACATAGGGAAACATCAAAGAAGATAAACAGCAGCATTTTCCTGATAACAGCTAAATAAAAAAACAGTGGTTGACAACCCGCTTTCCAAGCGTTGAAACTATGTCAAATAACTATAATCATGTTTATGTTCTAAACCAGTGGACTTTTGATAGACTGTAAAGATATATATTCTATTCAAATGAAAATATATAAAAATATAAAAAGGAAAAAGAATTAAATTTTGTGTACTTACACAACATTTAGAAATATTAACAACAAGCTGTTCCCCGCGACTTCGCCCGCGTGGAGTAATTTTTTGCGGAACTCTAAAATAAAAGCAGCCCAAGTTACTCCTTATAACATCAGCTATCTCATCATCATCATCATTACAGCCCTTCACAAGTCCACTGCTGAACATAGGCCTCCCCCAAAGAATGCCACAAAGCACGGTCCTGAGCCACCTGCATCCATCGACTTCCTGCATATCTTACCAGGTCGTCACTCCATCTAGCCCTACACTTCGCCTGCCGGTACGAGGCTGCCACTCGAGAACCTTTCTTCCCCATCGGTTGTCGGTTCTTCGAGCTATATGGCCGGCCCATTGCCACTTCAGCTTACTAATCCGTTGGGCTATGTCGGTCACTCTAGTTCTACTGCGGATTTCCTCATTTCTGAGTTTATCACGCAGAGAAACTCCGAGCATAGCCCTCTCCATAGCTCGCTGAGCGACCTTGAGCTTCCTCATCCGGCCAGCAGTGAAGGACCACGTCTCAGTTCCGTATGTCATCACTGGCAACACGCACTGGGTGTACAGTCTCGTTTTCAAGTTTTGAGGTATACCTGACGAGAAGATGTGCCGTAATTTCCCGAACGCTGCCCAACCGAGTTGAATCCGTCGATTGACCTCTCGGTCGAAGTTGGACTTACCTAGTCGGACTATTTGTCCCAGGTAAACATACTCGTCAACAACTTCGAGCTTAGTGTTCCCAACAACTACCGGCATAGGTGTGACATGGACATTAAACATGATCTTTGTTTTGTCCATGTTCATCTTAAGACCTATCCGTTGGGAAACACTATTGAGGTCATTGAGCATACTGCTTAGGTCCTCCAGCGATTCTGCCATAAGGACTATATCGTCGGCAAATCGAAGGTGAGTGATGTACTCGCCATTGATGTTGATACCGTATCCTTTCCAGTCCAGAAGCTTGAAAACATCTTCCAATGCAGCGGTAAAGAGTTTCGGGGATATGACGTCACCCTGTCTTACACCTCTCTGCAATTGGATAGGTTTCGTACTCTGGTTCTGTACTCGGATAGCCATCGTAGCCCTACTGTACAAGCACTTCAACACTTCGATATACCGACAGTCAACTTGGCATCGCTGAAGGGACTGCAGCACCGCCCAAATTTCGACGGAATCAAAGGCTTTCTCATAGTCCACATACGCCAGACATAGTGGCAAATTGTACTCCTCGGACTTCTGCACAATTTGCCGAAGGGTATGTATGTGGTCTATGGTGCTAAAGCCTTTTCGGAAACCGGCTTGTTCGGGAGGCTGGAAGTCGTCAAGTCTGCGCGCGAGACGATTCGTAATGACTCTCGAAAACAGCACGTAGACGCGGCTCAGAAGGGAAATCGGTCTGTAGTTCTTCAAGAGAGCGTTGTCGCCTTTCTTGAAGAACAAGACCACCGCACTTCTGCTCCACGCCTCCGGTGTAATGCCACCATGGAGGACGGAATTGAAGAGCTTCGGAAGGACTTCAAGTACCGGTCTTCCACCCGCTTTCAGAAGCTCCGCTGTAATTCCATCCTCGCCTGGGGCCTTGCCGTTTTTAAGGTGCTGGAGAGCCATTCTAATCTCGCTCAGACTGACGTCCGGGATATCATCGGAATAATGTCGGATAAGACTCGCTCTTGGATCGTTACTCACACTTGCGTGCGGCTCCAACGATGACGTGTACAGCTGCCCATAGAACCTCTCAATCTCACTCAAAATCTCAGGTGCCCCGGAAACGATGCTGCCACATTCTGTCTTCAGCTTTGACAGTTGGCGCTTTCTGGCAGACAGATCTCTGGTAAAGACTTTGGAGCCTCGGTTCCGCTCGATCGC